GTCCTCTTTTGGAAGACCAAACAAAGTAGTTTTGCTTTCACAACGGAAAACATGGTGGCCTAGCGTGAGCGGAAGCCGTGGCTTAGTGAGCAGAGGCCGGCGGCTAGAGTGAGCAGAGGCGGCGGGCTTGAGAATAGCGCAGCCGGCAGATTCAACGAAGGAGTGTCCGGAGGGCTTGCGGCAACCACATGTGACGACCCCGGGTTGGACTCCGCTTCGTCCACAGTGAAAGCCGATCCGGTGATCCACAGCGCAAAGTTGATGTATTTCCTCAGTGACCAGCACGGATCAGCTCCAAGCATGACGAAGCCATATCGTCCTCTTTTGGAAGGCCAAACAAAGTAGTTTCGCTTTCACAACAAAACACAGCGCCTTCATGACATGGCGGCGGCAACAACAATACTACAGCGAGAATAAAAGTTATGCCTTCTTTCTTTGCGTGAACATTTGGGCGGCGTTATGCAAATCTTCCCACATTGTTACATAGATATGTGGGGGCGTGTTAGAACGAGCCGTTTTAGATAGCCATGGCTGACTCTTATTTTTATAAAGAATATCTCTTTGGATTTGAGACTTTAGTCTTTGCAACTTTACAGATCTTCTTTATGCACCAAGAGCTTGTAACACTCCAAAGAGAAAGGAAAAATTTTAATTGCATCATATGACCCCTTTAAGACCTTATTCAAGATAAAGTCAAAAATGTTTTGGTCTTTGAGGATCATGGCTTTTACAGACCTGTTGCAGTTCTGAAGGTGTGACAGTCTTTTTCTCCCTCTGCTGGACATTTGTTTAGCACTCCCAATGTGTCTAGTGTAATCAAAAGATAGTATACCCAGGTTTCTCGAGCATTTTTTATGCTGTACTGCATTTTACTAACCTTTTATTTTTGTTTAAATCTTTATTTAACAATACTTTGTCATCTGAACCAAGAAGAGAGATGGAAGACTGATCCGAGGAGTGACATTGGGCTGAGTATGGAAAATGGTAAATATTTGTCTTTTTTAAGAAATATATTAATAATAATAATAAATCAGTAATAAAGTAACTACATTTCAAATAGTCTTTTAATGATTTTTAAATGATTTTGATAAAAGCCTCTGCTATAGCTTTTAAACCAATGTTCATTGATTATTATACATTTGCATTATTAAAGTAACGTAAAGTAAAGTAAAAGGCAGCAATTAAAGTGGTTTGCATTCAGTAACTAAACCAATTCTTCATATAAAATATAAAATGTGCTCTTCAAAATGAACAACTCTAGACTAGACACAAACTCTTCACAATTAGTTATTTCCACTAAACAAAAAACAAAACAAAACTCAATATTCATTTAATCTCTATCTGCATCCATAATGGGCATCCACTAAATTACTGTTTCCTTTGTCTCAGTGTCTGCAGTCACTTCCAACACCAAAACGTCCTTCTCCGACCCAGAACAGGTGAAGATGATGAGTATGTCTGTGCCTGCATTCATGCAACAAGAGGTAAAATACAAACCAAAACCCATGAGCCTCTTTAATGCTAATGTTGAATAACAGCCCCGACCCTGGATTAGTTCTAAAAAGTGTTATTTTTATGTTTTAACCTATCACCAAACACCAACATTTGCTGCCTTTATTAACCTGCATAAATGCTAACAACCTCATGTTGTTTGTGCATGTGACTAATAGATGGCCTGCAGAAACAGTGACTGTGCCTCAGTGAGCAGTTTCCACTATGACAGACTGAGAACATGCAACACTCCTTCTAATTTTAGCACTTGTTCTGAAGTGGCCTCCATGTCCTCTGTATGTAACCCGTTTTTAACACAACCCAATGATTCTGAATAGAACTATTTTTGCTCAAATATAATGCAAATGAACATATTCATCTATTTTTTTGCACACTATGATAACATGCTATTATAAAAAGATTTCTGTACGGATCTGTGTCTTTATGGGGTATGTATAGGTCACTGGTAGTGTAATGAGCATCTACAGTAGTGAGTTTGGTAATGTGGAGGTCAAAGGCACGATCCAGTTTGCCATTCACTACGTGCAAAAACTGGGAGAGTTCCACGTCTTTGTTGTGCAGTGCAAGGACCTCGCTGTGGCGGATGTTAAAAGGAACCGATCTGATCCGTAAGCAAACTAATATTTCTCATCAGGAGAATACAAATTCTCTCAAGATGGATAAACAATAATATATGTGCTTTGTCTGATTGAACTTCAGGTATGTTAAATGTTACTTGTTACCTGACAAAGCAAAATATGGAAAGAAAAAAACATGTGTGAGGAAGAAGACTCTGGATCCAGCTTACAACGAAATCCTACGGGTATGAGAATTCTAAACTTCTTGAGATATGTTTTAAAATTAATTGATGATCAAAGTTGTCATTTCTGTGCAGTTTAAGATTCCAATGGAGATGTTGAAAACCCAGAAGCTGAACACCTCTGTGTGGCACAATGATACGTTTGGGCGTAACATGTTTCTTGGAGAGGTTGAGCTCGATTTGGCCGAATGGGATTTCAGTAATACTCAGATGAATGAATATTTACTCAAAGGAAGGGTAAGATATCAATAGTCATGTCTATTTTGGACAAAATAACCTGTTAGGATAGTTTTTAACTGGTGGCTTACAGACCAATCTGTATGTAGGTTAATATTGTTGAAAATATGGACAGCAAAATAAATGTTTTTTTGTTTTTTTTTGAGAAAAATGTGAACAATACATCTAAAATCCTGTTTGTATGAGGTCATGTTTGTTAGAATTCCTCTAAAGTTTGCCTTTCTTTATCAACCCAGGTTCAGGTTCCCACCAGCCCAAAAAATTCTGTCGGCAGCGTGGAAATGAGTGCAGAGATTAAAGTCGCTCTGCGTTTTGTCCTACAGACTTCTCACAGTAAGCTGTTGACATTTATGATGCTGACATTTTATTTGACTAAATATATATTTTTAGAAGCATCTTCCTTTCTGATAACATGTTCATTCTGTAGGTCACAAGAACAAGGGGAATGGTGAGGTGCAAATATGGGTGAAAGAATGCAAGAATCTGCCTATTACCAGAGGTGTTGCCATTAACCCCTTCGTGAAATGGTATTTATAGCTGTTTTATTGGATACATTTGTATATGTGTTGGATCATCAGATGTGGGATGCCCATCCTGTGTGAATTTTGCCTTTTCAGCGCAGTCCTCCCAGATACAAGCCGAAAAAGCCGTCAGAAGACCAAAGTGTTGAAGACGGCATCTAACCCAGTGTTTAACCACACCATGGTGTATGATGGTTTCAGGCAAGAGGACCTCAAAGAGGCCTGTGTGGAGCTTACTGTGTGGGATCACGACAGACTCAACAACCACTTCATTGGGGGTATTAGGCTGGGTCCTGGAACAGGTAATTGAAAGAGGAATTACAGCCATACTTAAAAAAAATAAAAAAATGTAAAATTGTCACGACTGATTGTCAATATCTTATTGCAGGAAAAAGTTATGGCACTGAGGTGAACTGGATGGACTCTAATGTTGCTGAAGCAGCCCTGTGGGAGAGAATGATGCAATTTCCGAATGAATGGGTGGAAGATATTTTACCTTTGAGAATGATGGTCATGGCAAGAATGTCTAGATAGTAAGAAACTGAGGCATGGTGACACTTTTGAACAAATACATGAAAAATGATTGTGAACATGAAGAATGCATTATATAGGAAGACCGTATGTAATGTAGGAACTAACTTGATGGTTTCTTGACATTTCTGTTGATGAAAACAAAGAGAATGAAAAATATAATATGCCTATTATTGTAAAGTAAGTGGATGTAATGTCTTAAAATAAAAATGCCTGTTTAAAAATCTTTCAGTTTGCTGCAAATAAGATCTTTTGTTAATTGCCACGAAAGAGCACTATAAAAACTTTAAATTGTCCAACTGCAATCACTTGTATATGTAAAATTCTGAACATCTAGTAATAAATACAAAGTAAATTTTGTTGTGTGGAAGGAACTATAGACTGTGACAGAAACTGATTCTGGAAACAACAACAACAACAGCCAATCTTTGCTCCTCCTCTATGAGAAGCAATGCTTACGTAAAGTATCGCGATATTTCAGGACTCGCCATTTTAGTTCTTCAGTGTCGTTGGAAGTGCGTTGCTTGTAATTTGGCTTTGCAACGTCTGCCCTCAAATACCTTTTTTCTTGTTAATTTAGTTTTCTCGTTTTTCCCCCCCTCAACCAATCGACGTCGCAAGACATCAGTACTCGATTTAAGGTAAGTTGCTTCGGTTATGAACAAATATATAACTGTTATGTAGTTTGCTTTACGTGAGGAATCTGCTTTGTCACTCAGGCCAAGGCGCGCTGCTGCGGCCTGCTAACGTTAATCGAAACCTCTGCGAATATTAAATCCGTTGTTGTATTCGATATTAAGAGTTGTTTACATATTGATTATTATATTAAAAGAAAGAGGATGCATTGACTTAAACGTATATTATAACAATACCTATATATCAATGTTTTGTTAAATATCGTTTGCTAACCGCGAAAGAAGGCATCTGGACGTTTGTTCGTTTATTCTTTGCGATATTTTAAGCTGGAACTCCCAAAACTTACATCCTTTCGCCCTCGCGTTTGACTTTATCTAAGTTAGTCGAATACAGATGGAAATGTTCAGTGGACTGGCAGCTTTATTTACCCTTAACTTTTATTGCTTCTCCCCCATATAAATTAAAAAGTGAATGGAGATTAAGAATGTCCTTTTCCTTAATATAGTTTTTGTTCTACTACTACTTCCGTTTTTTTGGCGTGTTACATGCTGTGTGCATATCGCCACCTACTTTTGCTGTTATGCAGTCATAGTTTATTTATTATCAATTTTTTCCTTGTTTTTGCTTTCCCTGTTCTTACACGCATATATACACACATATTCCTACTTAAATAATTATTGGATGCTCCATCCCATTCCTTCTCCCCAGGCTCCAGCTGGCGCTGCGTGTTCAGCTCCTCCAGACTAAATCCGTGGTCTCCTGAAGCTCCAGAATAGAATAGAGCATCCGCATTCTATATTTAAATCCTTTCACTTAACCTAGTAGTATATATGTATTTTATTAATATCCTGTATCCTTCTCGATCTCTGTTAAACTCATATCCTAATTAGGGCTGGACAATAATTCAATATCAATATGTATCGCGATATAATTTTTTTCAATAACGGTGATATGATTTTTAAACACATTTCCGATATTTCGATATACATTACCAGTGTTTCCCATACACTGATTTATTTGTGGCGTTTGACTTCAAAATCAAAACGCGTCGCGGGTGTTTTATATGAATGTATCTCTGAAGGGAACCGACTGTCTTCAGAATAGGTATTTAAAACAGTTGAGTAAATTATTTCAGGATTCTGATGAATAGAAAGATCCAAAGATCAGCATTTATCTGAAATAAAAAGGTTTTGTAACATTATACACTATACCATAGCCTGTAGTTTGAAGTAAAAAATATTAATAAGGAGAGTCTGAGATTTATTTGACAGTGATTTCACATTTCTTGTTTGTATGAAGGCTAAATACCAATAAAAGGTGAACATTTATTTATTTTCGCCATTTTTTTCCTAAAATATTATATAGTTTTATAGGAGTAGGTTTCATAGAGTTGGCAAATTAATTTTTCATAAGTTTGTAGGTACAGACATCTGTTTAGGCCGTTTTTATGAGGCTTTTTTAATAGTGTTCATATCGATATCGGAATTATATCATATCGACCGAAATTGAGAAATATATCGTGATATCAATTTTGGCCATATCGTCCAGCCCTAATCCTAATAAGTATTTTTGTGAAGAGAATAGTGCTTAGTGTGTTTGTTTTATTGAAGTGAGCGCGTTTATGTCCAAATTCTTGCTGCTGTTTATTTTCTGCTAATTTCCAAATGTTTTATTTCTATGCAGTTTACACAATATCCAGGAACAGCCATGATCACCAGAAAAAGAGGAAGAAGCAGCCTAAACGCTGACATCACATGCACAAGTACCTCCCAAGAGATTGATAGTGGTTCGAAAGCCAGTGATACAAGTGAAACGAACATGCTGACTTCTCCAGAAAGTGACACCAATGATTGGGGCCTGGATGACCTGCTTGGCTCCGGGCTCAACTGGGACCTGGACAACGATGTGCTTGATACTTTCGTCAACTTTGAATCACAGACGACGACTAGTGATGAGACAGACCAAAGCGCATTGCTTGACGTTCCCTTATCCCGCAGTAGAGGTGCAGTCCAGAGGTCAAAACTGCAAGGTGTCTCTGGTCGGATCATCAACAAGAACGCCATTGCAGCGAGGATGAACCGATTAAAGAAGAAAGAATACGTCAGTGGCTTGGAACAGAGAGTTGGTTCTTTGACGACAGAAAACCGTGTTCTCCAGCAGGAAAACGGGAATCTCAACAAGAGAGTGGAAGAGTTGGAGAATGAAACTAGGTACTTGAAAGCCGTGTTGGCCAATGAGAGCATGCTGGCTCAGCTGTTGTCTAGATTGAGCGGTGTGAACGGCATGAAATTCTCTACCTCGCTTTTCCAGGAATCCAACGAGAACGACCACGATTATGCCATGCCGAGGAAGAGGGTGAAGGTGGAAGACAAAGATACTGCAGGTGGCATCTGCCTGCATGTGGACAAAGACCACGTCTCGGTGGAATTCTGCACCAAATGTGCAGAGAGTTCAAGCTTGTCGCATAAAATGTAGGGTCAAGTATTTTACCTTTTCAACGTTTCCCGAGACTGAACATTTGCACAAGATGTAAATGAGGGGACATGACGACAGTAGTTGTCAAATATAGATTTAACTGTTTAAATGTGTGCAGAGCTTGAATGGCATGTCTTTTGAACTTGCTTTCAATACAAGTTACTGCTAAACTTGTTGACAGTTTTCTTCTAGGTGCTTGGTCCGCCATGCTGGATGAGTGGGTCACAGAACATCCTTGACTGCTGAAATCCATGGTAAGGATCAAGCTGTAGAAGACTGCACAGAACTGGTTAACTCCTAAGATGAGGACAATGCTTTTTGCCAGTTCACGGCACAATATGAACTGTAAACAAACTATCATTTCTGTTTCATTTTCATTTGGTATCTGTTTAAAGTATTGAAGATAATCTACAAAAAGAAATTAAGCACTGTTTTTTGAATTACATACTTTGGATGTTTATTGGATTACTCAATTGCAGTATGTAATTTCAGTTAAATGACTAACTGAATTTACAGTTAGTCATTTAGTCAGTTATAACTCAGTTAGACTTTGAGGAAAGTAGTTAAGTGAACAAAAAAAAAGTTAAAAAGAATTATGTAAATGGGTGATGTTTCACAAAGGGCTTCCACGTATATTAATCTGTTATGTACCTGTTTATTCAGTGTTGATACATTGATGTTGATTTCAGTACAAGATTCCAGGCAAGTTTGTATTTAGCTGAAAATAGATGAGCCCTTTCTGAAATATCGCTATTTTTCTAAAGAATGTTTTTCATGTAGAACCCTTATTTTTCTTTATGCTAAAGTGGATTTTGCTGTGGGGAAAGCAGAAGAATCGGGACCAGCAGCTTGCATCATGGCCTGGTAAATTTAAAAAAAGGTAGTACACGAAACCGTGTAAGTGACAGTTTTTACTGATTCTTTATCACACCCCTAAAGACGTCAGATGCTGTAATGCTCGTTTAGCATCTAAATGAGTATTTAAACTCTCCTGTTTATAGTAATGTTTGACTACAGTCCATTTTACATCTGTGTCATTTCCATGTGTTTCATCTTGATTTGTTAAAGCACTTGGGCTTTATTTGACAGTTGTCAGGAGAAATGGTATGTTCTAAAACAATTTTCAAAGGGTCATGGTTTTTGAGTATGATCATCTATATGTGAGATGTAATGGAAATCCAAAGACTGCGGGCACATGGCTTCAGCTGTTTTGAAGTGAAATGTAATAAATTTTCATTTGAGTAATGCAAATTGTTTTGTGTCCTATTAAGATGTTAACTACACTCTCCTTCTCTTTTTAGACAGCACTTTCTTCGCTCTCTACAAGAGCCTTTTCTTACTTCTCGTCAAGGTGGATAAAGAGTGGTGGTGGTTTCTCCGTTATATACAAATGTATACTGCAAAATTCCTTAAGGGCTCTGGTAATTCAGTGACACCCCAAAAAACAAACACAGCTATTCTGTTTGGGCCATTGTTGGTCAGGTCTAATGACTGTGGCTCTCCAGCGTTGCAGATCAACCCAAGCAGTTCTGAAATGTATAACTGCAGTTGATTTTTCTTATCCTGGTACTCCATACTGCTGTCGGTGTAAATAGAACATCTTAATGAATATTTGTGCCAACACTGCTGTATCAGATATAGAAACTTTTTGTTCCTGTGGTAACAGCTTGTAGGATACTTTCAAAGTGATTTATAAAACTACCTTTTGAAATATTCAATGTCTGAAAAATGTTAGTGTCCACAAAGTAAATGTTAATGTTATAGTATCTCTCATATTGATACAGTTCTCATTGACCCAAATATTGTAGTATTTTCTCAAATGTTATAGTTTTAACCTGGATCTTCTAAATCAGTGACTGAATTGAATTTTGGTTATCTTATTTAAAAGCTAATGCTAGTGTTACTCTGATTACATTTCAGAACGGTTTGGTCGATTGTAGTGGGTAGGGAATTGGAAATGAGCTCAGATTAAAAGATCTCTTTGTGGCAGTAAATGAGAGTTATAAATAAGCTTGTAAATAATGCACAAGCTTGTTTCCCCAGTGCATTGTTTTTATTATTAGTAGCTAACAAAAACTGGTAATTGATCCACGTTCTCCATTTGATCATTTTATTAGTTGTACATTACCAAAAGGCATTTGTGTTTACACCACTTTTTATCCACTATTTTTCTCGCACATGCACACAAACCAAATGGTTTAGGCAAGGCTCGAAGGAATGTTTTGTAGTATCTGGTAACACAACGTCCAGGCAGTTTATGCTATTCAGAGACTTATAAGAAACTACATTAAATGTTTTCAAATACCTCAACTTGTTATTTAGGATATTTTTGGAAACCAGTAGATTTCTCCCTTTTCAACTTTTGGGTTGAGAGTACAAATGTATAGTTGAATTTATTGACAAGTTACGTTTATTTATGGGGGAAAAATACATCAAATCTTGATAAGACTGGGTCATGGCACTGGATGAGTGTTTCACTTCTTTTAATAAGATTTACAATATGATCATTGTCATCAAAATACTTAACAATAACTGCTAACCATGAAGCTCTTTGCTGTCAAAATCTGATATTTTCAGCATTTTTAGGTAGATGTCAAACTGCTTCGAGCTCAAATAGGATCCAAACAAACCCTGCAGCAGTAAAACAACATACATCTTCTGTACGACGGGTTTGCTGAGGTTCGTCCAGAAGCGTATCATGTTCCCCTTCTCTGGCATTGGTGCACTGTTATACCTGCAAGACAATTGGAGATTAGTTATATTCAGTCATGCATAACTTGCCACATTCTATTTTTAAGAAAAGCAGTATGTAGCAACACTGGACTAACCTGGCTGCAAGACCAGCATTGACAGGTAAGGCCAATAAAATGGGATATATGCCACCACCAACCACACCAACCAAAGCCCCTCTAATCAGGGTACAGGTTGGGCAGTTTAGATCACCTGCAATTACAATGTAGCTACTCAATACAATGCAGAACATTCGGAAACACTCAAGGAGCTTTCACGTGACTTGCTCAAGGGCGTTGCAAGGTAACAAAAAAGCGTAAGGTGTACAATAAACGCCTAACGAAACGAAATTAAATGTACTTGAGCTTAGAACGTAAAAATCCTGGTAATGGCATCGATCAGAAATAAAACGAGGTGTCGATTAAACAAAATCTAGCCGATCATGGTTTGATTTTCGTACTGGCGCGTACACATAATATCATTTGATTGTACCAATAACGATTGGCTGACGCTTTCGAAGAGGTCAAAGTTGAAGTTCAGACGCGAGTCACGTGGAAACCACTTGATACCAATCTTCATACAATCCTACATCCATTCCATACCTGACATTAAGGGGTTTGAGACGGTCGCAGTGTATAGTGCTGCAGTTGTCAGAAAGGGAAGGACAGCCATGGGAAGACTGGAAGTAAATCGTCCTTTGGTGACATTTAGTACACGTCTGTAAAAGCTGTTGGCAATCAAGCCAGCAAACCCAGCGTTGCCAGCCAAATACATGGGGCCGTATGAAAAGAGTTTTCTGTTGGGGTCATTACAGGGAACTTTCATCAGCTAACTGCAGTGGGGGAAAAGTTGTGACATATTATATGCAAAAACAAACAAACCCTAACTTACTTGTCTAGATCAGAGAGCCTTTCAAACTTCTTATTCAGCATTTCCGTAATCTTCGCCCTGGATACTGTATGGCCTTGGCCTGTTTCTTTCACAACCGTCCCGTTGTCTGTCATGTTGATCTAAAAGGGGATACAGATATAATATCAACAAACGGATTCATAGCAGACAGACAACCTTCTAACAACGTTGTGACAACATACTTAAAATGTTGATATTTCATTTTGGTGACCTGGAGACTATCACAACTACTGTACATGCAAACGTCACTGGCCTGAAGCGCGAAATTCGGCTGTTTAAATATCAACGGTTGGTTTGTCTGAAGAAAATCTGCAGCGGTTTATCGACCAGTGAGTTTTGCTTTTGTTTAATTTACATTCCAGAATAAGATTAATAATAACTCAACGTATTATTATACTATTAATTATTATATACATTCTATACAGCTTGCTACCTGGATATCCATGAAATTCATATGAATCCTCTGTAGAGGACATATTTTAGTAAGACGCCTCTTTATGAGCTGAACTTGATATGGCATTTTAAAAACGCTGCGCTCATAGCAAGAGACGCATCGCAACGGTCAAAGCAGTAACTCATTCAACCGAAATGACAGCTGGTTTGTTTTGCCTGTGTTGATGTGCAGCTGAACGTCAAACACAGTCGTAATACTGTCTATTTATTTACAGCTTCGTTTGCACATGGTCACTACCTCATTTATGCATAGTAGTATTGCTACTTACATACGAATGCGCTTTTAAATATGCGCTAAATTATTTCCATCCCCTGTTCAACAGTCACGGTCCTCAATGCCAGCAGGGCGCAGCCATGTCTAACCACATGTTCCAGTCAACTTTCACCCCGAGATCCAGGAACCATACGGCGATTACTATTGGTCCGTGCGTGGGCCAACTGACCGAATGAACGAACGCCATTGGTGGACGCGCCCTGTCAATCACCGCGGGTCAACCCTCTCGTTGCTAAGGCGAAACTGGTGATGATGCTGCTGGTGATACTGCACCCACCGTAGAGAGTCTCTGCAAACCAGCTTTGGCAAAAGATGCCGTGAAAATTCACAGAAAAAATGACGGGAAAGGAGGTGAAGTTGTTCTTAACTGCATTTCGGGACATTTGACGAGGACCTTTGGGATATATTTGCTCAGATTGGCTTAATTACAGAGACAATTGTGGAGCCATGCGTTATCGGAAAGCTGGATGAAACTTGCAGGTGTTTTCCGACAGGCGTCGCACCGACCGGCTGCTGTTTCATGGGGAAATGCATCCTGCCTTGTTTAGTTCAATCTGTCTTCTGTCTCTACCTCGAGATCTGGATTTCACACACCAGTTTGCCTGTATGGTGATGGTTTTGCTTGTGTCTTGAAGCTGAATTTTTAAGTGACGTGAAACTGGACAGCAAGATGATCATTAAAGTCTCCAATTTTAATTTTCTCTTTTTTCTCTCTCTCTGTTCAAGGATCGGAAAATAAAACACAAAACACGTGAACTTCATTCTCTCACTATGTACAGAACAAGTCGTTCTTGAAGAACTGTTTACAAGCATGCATCGTTCAACTGACCGGGGCACGAGATACCAGGATGTCATGCTTATTTATTCCTCAAACTGTTGCTAGACCTCCATATTGGCAGTTTAAGGATTTAAAATAATGCTTGATCAGCATATGTTGACTGAATCTAATCCAAGACAAGCCATGCACTGGAGACCCTTTGTGATTTGATGTATTTAGCCCTTTGGGGCAAAAAACTAGAGGTTAGATTTAGTTTAGATAGTCACTGCGCCTTTAATATTTGCCAGGACTGTATGGGTTGTGTTATGGACAGCGTGATTGAATTATGTTTATGTAGTTAAACACCAAATGCATTTAAGGAATCAGTAGTTGCACGAATATTCCAGCAAAATAATCCTCAGAGAGCTCAATACCGAGAGCATATGGACACTGGAGAGCAGTCTTGATATTTCTTATGGACTCGTACACACCAAGGTGCACTCGATCACTATCCAATCTTTCTATCGGATTATGGATTTATTTCTCATGTGCGACAGTCATGCGCTCAGCATGCGTTTTCTTCTGCAAGATGTTTCAGCGCGTGTCTCTTCCTGATTAACTTGACAATTACAAGCAACGACCCGAGAGCTGCCATTCTGTTCGCTTTTACATCTACATCAACGAAATGAGTAGGAACTTGCTGCTTTAGCAGGTGACACTTTCTCAAAAACACTGACAGCAGATGAGGGCGAAACTTTTGTGTTGCTGTTTCCATGCGTGACAATCCCACAAGGACATAAAGGAGTAATTATGCCCTTAAGAAAACGAGGTGAGAAATAAACATCAGCGTATGTACATAATTATGAAAACATGATTATTGTATACAACAACTGTCGTTGACATAATGTGTGGACTTTTTTTTAAAGGCGGCATTATTTCAGGTTAAAATTTATATGAATGAATAAGTGAAATTGTACACTGAAAAAAAAAATAGTGTAGAATTATTTTTATTCAGAAATAGCTAGTAAATTTCACAAATAATTACAAAGAAATTGCAAGTGTCACAATTTTGAAATAGAAATTCTGAAATACTATTTTCTTGCAAGACCTAGGCTTCTCTAGTAATCTGATATATTTACAAACTTGAAAAATCTTTTTTTATTTCTACGTTTTAAAAATCGTCTACTGGTGACAACTAACAGAACCTAGAACACGCATTTTATTTCTTTTTGTGTGGTCTTTTTCATCATTTTAATCATATCTAGTGAAGATACAATTTTTTTTGAAAGTATGAGTATTACAGTCTCTTAATATGAGGTCATACAAGCTGAATGCATAAGGTTTATTTGTCAGAATGTGCAAAATGTTTAAATATAGCATGACATATGTCAATTTCCACATGTAGCTATATTTATATAGTTGTGTCCTTAGGTAATGCAGAATGTCAGGAGTCAGGACTGGTTTTGGTGAATATGTTGCGGTTGCTGAAGCAGGCAAAGATGATCATATTATAGCAGGACTGTTGTGGCTGTGCCTTTTATTATGCTTATTTTATTTTGACTTCTGTACCTTCTAAGCTTAAAATAGTAGTGTAATTACACTCTGCTGTAAGTTTGTAGTCTGTAAAAATAGACAAGTATGGCCAACTTGCCTGTGACCTCGGATGATCTCGGATGCTGGATTGTATTTATATTTTAGACTGCTATGCAGCTATGTCTTTAGTTACTCTTTAAACGATATGCATGTCTACAAATCTTTTTTTATGCATTTTTATGCAAGTAGTATATCTCCAATTTTATTGTCCTAGTAGTTAATCATTAGCAGAATCATTAATGCATGCACAGTAATCATTTTCAAATATGTTACTGATTACAATGTATTTTAAATGTTAAAGTTTTATGTTGCTCAGAGGGCTCTGTTGAAGACAGGAATTAACCCCCATCCTGTCCCTAGTGTCTGTTTGTCTGTGTGACTAAGTGACTGAGTCATGCTCAGTCACTCTGATGATCTGTGCCAGTAGTAAAGAGTCTATCAGGGTCTCTGTACGTTGTTAACTGGTTTCTGTGTTATAAAAGCATGACAGTTTCTCTGCTGTGTTCTTAAAGGATGTCACATTGGAAGTAAAACTTGATTATCAGTTTAGATTGTCATTCAATTCAACACAAATCACTATTCGCAGCTAATTTTACTTCTAATGTGACATACTGAGTGAATTTTCCATCAATGAATCATTCACAGTTTGACTAGGAATGTGCATTAAAGGAATAGTTAACCAAAAAAAAAAAATTTGCCAAACGCATCACAATAATTCACATGACTCCAGTCCATTAGTTAACATCCTGTGAAGCAAAAAGTTGTGAACAAATGCATCAAAATGCTTTTAACATCAAAACGTTGCGTTTGACTCTATCCATAATACTGCTTACTGCGGTGAAACAGTTGAATCGTCTGAATCAGGAGAGAAAAATGCACAGATCAAGTACCGTTTACAAGCGAAAACAGTTCTTAACAAATATGTCAGTGGATTTTGATGTGAGAAGACAACAGGGGACAGACTTTATAACTGAAGGAAGCATTATTTTGGATTAAGGACTTAGGCCGGAAGTGATGGTTTAAAGTTAAAATACCTTAATGATGGATTTGTTTCTTACGAACATGCAGCTTTTTTTCTTCACAAGACATTAATTGATTGACTGGAGTCGTGAGGGATTATTGTGATGTTTTTATTTTATATCAGCTGTTAGAACTGCAGATTATCCATTGGTGAGCAAGTGATGTAATGTTAAATTCTTCCAAATCTGTTCAGATGAAGAAATAAACTCATCTAACTGAGAAGTTTTCATATTTGGAGTGAATTCTTCCTTTAAAAAAGTAAAAAGGGGCAGTTTGTGAGCGAGCCCTCTAAAGACATTTATTTAAAAAATAAATGTAATAATAAATAATAATAATGCATGTTATATGTTCCATGTTAAATGTTGTATTAAAAAATGCCAGTAGCATAACATTTTTTTCTGTCTTACAGACACAGCCAGGGCAATATGCCTCCTGGAGGACTACTGCTCCAAACTGAAGAAACCAGAGGAACAACAGCTCAAAACTGCCATCTTAAGAGTCATGGGCATTTTCAAAAGCAGTCTTTTCCAGGCTCTCGTAGGTAAGCTTATGTTTGTAAAAAGAGTCATTTTTCCTTTTAATAGGGAAATAGGTCAATGACAGCACAAGATGCGAAATAAAGTTATTTATAAGTGATTTTTTCAGCAGCATACAAATGTTCCTCAAATTGATTTTTAGGATATTTGCTTGAATTTATTCACGCCAAGAGTGTTCTAATGTTTATTGTTCTAATTTAAAACAATGTTTTTATGTCTTGAGGTCAATGTTTTCATTTTTATTATTTGTTCCATTAAGGTTGCATGTGCTTTGTCTGCTGATGTGACATTTGCTCATAGTTCATTCTTAAGCAGTGGGCACATTCTGCCGCTTTAGGGCTTTTTTCTGAAATAAAGTTATTTTTAACCTTGCTGATGTGGCAGGAGATGCTTCTCTGTGCCTCTGGTATTTTAAACATGTTCTTCATGAGCTCAAATCTCCACAAGGCAAGCTTTTGTCTTTTCAGTAAAGGAGAATCAGATTGGTTTTGAATCTTGACTGGTTTAACTCCTTTATTCATACTCAAGGTCAAATGCAGCTTAAGGACAAATGCTCTCATGTGCTTTTAGTAAGTATAAGTGGGGTGGTTTTGACTTCCATAATTTCCTCTTAGTATGTTATTAAATGTTTAGACACTTCGTTAGTTGAATATAGAATGTACAATTGATGATTCTGGAATCTGGAACATAACATCTTATCATAATTTCTGTAATGAGTTGGACCACTGTGCTGTCACAGTCTGTTAACATTCTCACCAGGATGCGGGTATTTATTCTGGTCTAAAGCAAAGGTTCATTCAATCAATTAGCAAAGAAACTCAGAAATGTGCAGTGCGGGGTGACTAATGGTCAGATCAGCAGCTCGTCTTTTTTAACTGGTTTTGATTTTGTAGCTGAGTGCATTTGCTCACTTTTAAGAAATGTAAATGTGTAAACGTAACACCATGAAGTACTTTCTTATTTCTTTGAAAAAAATGGCTTTGTTTATATATTTGCTTTATGTAAATATTCCATAGGTTTTCATGAAAGTGTAGGAAGTCATTCAGAGCTTTGTGAAAATTACAGCTTTTGCTTTAAATGGTAGTCGGTCATAGAAGCACTTTAATACAGAATTTCTTAATCTTACACTTATGTTTTAGCTGCATTTGCCAAGATTTTCTAATCAAGGCCCTATGCTTGCTATGACTTTAGCTCTAGGTTTTAAAGCTTTTACTGAGTTGGATGAGAATTAGTCATGCAGAAAAATTGCGTAGTTAAAAAACAGTGTGTTTAGATGCAATATGCTAAATCATAGTTCTGTGTTTAATTGCTGGTGCTGTGGTATTATGATCTGGGCGCAGGGATTTATAGAATAGAATAGAATAGAATACGCCTTTATTGTCATTGTATGTTTCTGTATTTAGCCTTGGATAGTGTAATATTTGTGAAATATTGCCTTCTTTTTCCTGTCTATAACCTGAATTCCTTTTTTTCTTCTCCGACCTTTAGCTCAACCCACTGATTGTGTTTGTGGCAGATTGCTTTCTATTAATTGGAAGGTGACGTGATCCTAACAGGCCTTCACGTTCTTTGCTGCCCTCTTGCAGTCATTCACAGATGACTCCACCTAATGCATTTAGAACCTAACTGTATAATTAGCTTGCATCTTTGATACTAAAATCTAATTTAAACAATCATGTAGATCTGTCAAACTTGTCCCCTTTCTGTTGATTTTCTATAAAATGCTGTTAAAGGTTAAGGTCACTGCCTGAAATAGCAGTAATCATCTTAGAAGGCATTAGCATGAGTGTAATCTGGACGGTTTGCCATCATGCCAGAGAAGTGCAGCCTCTTAACTGCTTAACCTATTCTCGCTTTCACCAGGAAACATGCATACCTGACAGCATAGGTTGAAAATTCTGTGAAAATCCATTCTGAGTGTGCAGGTTCACTTTCGGTGTTTCATGAAGAGATTCTGTTGGTTTGGAACCCTAAAGGCCCTGACATTTTGATCTACAGAACATTATAGTAGGAGTTATGGTAGCTTTGGCAGTACACAGTAGCCAAAATGAAATGGCCTGTGTTGTTTGTGGCAGGAAAGCTGAGAGGTTACTATAAGGTTGTATCACACCGAGTTAAGATCATTATAGTATTTTACTGTTCGAATCAAAAGTTCTCTGGAACGGCTCTGTCTTTTTTTAGAGTCTGTCCTTTTTGATGAGATTTCTTGGCTAAATATTCACTATCACAGCTGCTCATTGGAATTCTTTAGATACTGAGCCACTGCGTTCTAATCGTGAAACCACAATGCCAATTTGTTCCATAGAGGTTTTTAATGGGCCCTATTTGTCACTGTCATCTGAACAAGGTTGGACACTGCCCTCTTAATAGAAGAGCCATGACGGCGCACTCCTGTTTCACAGAGAGACCATCCCACAAGAAGCTTTTTTTTGCTCCTTCTGCTAAACTGTAATCAGATCTGTTACTCTTGCAGGAGGGGAGTTCCTGACACCAGGGGATGGATGGCGAGTAGCAATCTCTATTTGGTCCAAGTTCCACAGCTAGAACAATACAACTGCTCTGCTTCAGTTTCTAGAGTTCCAGAATGCACATCAAAAGTTTAGTCTGGCTTTGTGTCATAGATAGCAGGATCCAATAAGGATTACAAAGTCCGAATTAGATCATTTATTGTGTCTGTGTATGTGTAAGTGTGTGTTGTTCTTGCTTAATTCATGTTAGCATTCGCAAATCCATTTTACTACTATAGTTTAGCGTAATTCAGAGAGAAACAAAATGTGGAATAGGAATTTATACATCGGGAATTGATTGGATTGTGCAAAGTGGGCATTATGTACCAAAATCTATTCAGAAGTTAGAAGGGGAGGAGTTAAAAGAGGGAATGGGGGTGTCAGCCATAAACAAAGTAATTTCTGTGGAATGAGACATTTTGATTGAAAGTTTGATTTCATTGTGACTTTATGGTTAAAACGTTCACTTCAAATATTTGACACTTGAATATTTGACACTTTAAAAAACACTTTGAAGGAAGAATAAGATTAGCAGTGATTTTTTTTTTCCTGTTCTAGAATAATCTAGTCTCCCTGTAGCATGCTCTCCACTGTTAATCCTGCTGCTTTGTGATAGCAGCATGTTGGACCTCTCTCTCCGTCTTTTCTCTCTCTCCCTTTCTCCCTCTTTAATTGGTCTCTTCCTGTTTATTTCCCTTAACAAGTGGACGTGAGTTTATGCGCCTCAAATGTTGGTCGAAGCCATGCCTCAAATTGGAGGACTCTGGGTGAGGACTTTTGTCAGAGAGCGTTGGCTCTAATTACAGGTCAGTGTAATACTGTTTGTCAGTGAATGTCAGGTAAATGTCTGACCCAGATCTGAGATCAGTGGCTCATAGTGTATTTTGTGACTAAGTTTTATTGGGAAAAGCAGCATTGTGAGAGTTGTGAAGATAGTGAGTGAGTGATTATATGAGTAAGGATACTAGTTTTCCCGACACGTTGTATGAGCTGTGCTAATGGGAGCATAGATCACAGAGGTGTTGTTACAGATGGTTTATACATTGAGGCTGTGTCCTTAAAATGTTAATGATGAAGTTTTATTTGAAACTCTGATATGCATTTTCCTAAAAAGACTGCAAAAAGTTTTAGATGGTAATTCAATTAACATTCTGAATTTATTATTGTTTATAGTTTTTATATTTCTTTTATGTTTATTATAATATTTACGCAGAACAGAAAATCTGGAGAATTACATCGTACCATGATGTCTGTTTTCATTTTATTTTATTGAATATTTCTTGAATGTTATTTTTGCATGCCTAAAGTAAAGCTTCACCCAGAAATGAAATCCTAGTCATCAGTGCTAACCTGTACGCTGTTGTTGTTTTGGAACACATGTAGAATTTATTGCAGCTTATGTAGCTCTTGCCATAAAACAACGGTTTAGTTTACAGTGACCATGCCTGTCAAGCTTTGAAATAGATGATGAACAAACAAAATTAGATGTGGAGTGACATTAGTATGCGTAAATGACAATTGACTTTTTTGTGTTCCTTTAAACTCTAGTGTGAAACCCTTTTTCACATTTTGCTTTTTATGACTTTGAATCTTGGCATGTGGATAAACAGCCAACCTATGTGGGGTTTTTTGGGGGG